ACCTATGCAGCAATCCTGCAAGATCTCCTTGCACTGCCTTTGTTGTATCCCAGAGGTTTTGATAGGTGGTGTCTGTCATTCAGTTTGAAGAATTGTTTTATTTCCATCTTGATTTGGTTTTTGACCCAATGCTCATTCAGGAGCAGGTTATTTAATTTCAATGTATTTGCATGGTTTTGAAGGTTCCTTTTGGGATTAATTTCCAGTTTTATTCTGCTGTGGTCTGACTGAAAGCTTGTTATAATTTCAATTTTCTTAAATTTGTTGAATATTCTGTATGTATCTGTTAAGTCAATTAGTTCCAAAGTATAGTTTAAATCCATTGTCTCTTTGCTCACTTTCTGTCTTGATGACCTGTCTAGTGCTGAAAGTGGAGTATTGAAGTACCCCACTATTACTGTGTTGCTGCCTATCTGATTTCTTAGGTCTATCAGTAATTGTTTTACAACTTTGGGAACTCCAGTGTTAGGTGCATATATGTTTAGTATTGTGATATTTTCTTGTTGGACAAGGCATTTTACCATTATATAATGTCCCTCTTTGTCTCTTTTAACTGCTGTTGCTTTAAAGTTTGTTTTGTCTGATATAAGAATAGCGAGCCCTCCTGGCTTTTGGTGTCTGTTTGCATATAATGGCTTTTTCCACCCCTTTAAGTTTATGTGAGTCCTTATGTGTTAGGTGAGTTTCCTGTAGGAAGCAGATAGTTGGTTGGTGAGTTCTTATCTATTCTGCAGTTCTGTATATTTTAAGTAGAGCATTAGGCCATTTAAATTTGATGTTGGTATTGAGATGTGAGGTACCATTGCATTCATCATGCTGTTTGTTGCCTGTGCACTTTGGTTTTTGTTTTTGCTTTTTAACTTGTAATTTCATTTTATAGATCCTGTGTGATTTATGCTTTAAAGAGGTTCTGCTTTGATGTGTTTCCAGGATTTATTTCAAGATTTGGAGCCTTTTAGCAGTTCTTGTAGTGGAGGCTTTGTGGTGACAAATCTCTCAGCATTTGTTTTTCTGTGATAGACTATCTTTCCTTCATATATGATGCTTAGTTTTGCTGCATACAAAATTCTTGGCTGATAATTATTTTGTTTAAGGAGGCAAATATATGTCCCTAATCCCTTCTAGTTTGCAGGGTTTCTGCTGAGAACTCTGCTGTGAATCTGACAGGTTTTCCTTTACAGGTTACCTGGTGTTTCTGTCTCATAGCTTTTAGGATCCTTTCCTTCATCTTAACTTTAGATAAGCTGATGACAATGTGCCTAGGCGATCATGGTTTTGCAATGAATTTCCCAGGTGTTCTTTGTGCTTTTTGTATTTGGATGTCTCGGTCTCTAGCAAAGTCAGATAAATTTACCTTGATTATTCCTCCAAATATATTTGCAAACTTTTAGATTTCTTCTCTTCCTCGGGAACACCGATTATTCTTAGGTTAGGTCATTTAACATAATCCTAGACTTGTTGGATAATTTGTTCATATTCTCTTATTATTTTTTTGTCTTTGTTAGATGGGATAATTTGAAGACTTTGTCAAGCTCTGAATTTCTTTCTTTGACTTGTTGAATTCTATTGTTGAGACTTTCCAGATAATTTGGCATTTCTATAAGTTTGTCCAATATTTCCTGAATTTTCAATTGTTTTTTCTTTAAGCTATCTATTTCCTTGAATATTTCTCCCTTCACTTATTGTATCATTTTTTGGATTTCCATGGATTGGGCTTTCCCTTTCTCTGGTACCTCCCTGATTAGCTTAACAACTAATTTCTTGACGTCTCATTCAGTTAAATCAGGGATTTATTCTTGGTTTACATCCATTGCTGGTGAACTAGTGTGATTTGGCGGGGTGGCGGGGAGGCGGGTATCAAAGAGCCTTTTTTTTTTTTTGGTCATATTACCAGAATTGATTTTCTGGCTCTTTCTCATTTGGGTAGACTCTGCTAGAGGAAAGACCTATGGCTGAAAGCTGTTGTTCAGATTCTTTTGTCACAAGGTGTACCTTTGTTGTAGTACTCTCTCCCTTTCCTATGGATGTGGCTTCCTCTGAACCAAGATGCAGTGATTGTTGTCTCTCTTCTATCCACCAAGTAAGTCTACCCAGCTCCAGGGTGGTACTGAGGGTTGTCTACACAGAGTCCTGTAATGTGAACTATCGGTCTCTCAGTCATGGATATCAGTACCTGTTCAAGTGGACGTGGCAGGGGAATGAAACCGACTCTGTGAGGGTTCTTAGCTTTGGTGGTTTAATGCTCTACTTTTGTGCAGGTTGGCCTCATGCTGCAAGGTGGCTCTTTCCAGAGAGCATCAACTGTGGTAGTATGGAGAGGAACTAGTGGTGGGCATGGCCCTAGAACTCCCATGATGATATGCCCTTTGTCTTCAGCTACAAGGTTGGGTAGGGAAGGACCATCAAGTGGGGTAGTCCTAGGCATATCTGAGCTCAGAATTTCCTTGAGTGCATCCTGCTGAAGCTGCTGTCGGGGATAGGGGTGGGATTCCCAGGTCAATGTGTACCTAGGAGGATTATGTCTGCCTCTGCTGAGTCATTCAGGTTGTCAAGACAGTGGGGAAAAGCCAGCAGTCACAGGCCTCACCCAACTCCCATCCAAACCCAAGGGTTGCTCTCACTCCGACTGTTTCCTCCCTTATAGCCCTGAGTCTGTTTCCAGACAATGGGTAAGCTGGACTTGAGTTTGCCCCAGGCTACCCACCTCCAAACTGTAAAAGAAGAGGTCTTGGTTCTTTCCCAGCCTGTGGAGTCTGCACATTGGATTAATGCCCTCCCCCAAGTTCTGGCCAGGAGACTTCTCATCCCTTTGAAATTTTTACAGAGTTCAGCTGGAGATTTCCTTCTCCCTGTGTGTTTTTCCCGCAACTCCTCTGACCACCCTCCTGATGGATCCCTATGGTTCCAAGCAAGAATGGCCTGCTTGGGGATCCAGTGAGCTCCCATGGCCTTTCTGTTGCTTTCTCTACTCCTGTATTTTGCTCCACTCACTAAATTGATGCCACTCCAGGTAAGGTCAGAAACTTCTCCAGTAAATAGGTCTTTGGTTTCTCCAGTGGGGGTATGTGTTTGGTAAAGGATTTCCCTTTCCCACTTCCACAGTTGGGGCACTCACAATATTTGGGGTGTCTCCCGGGTCCTGCAGGAGCAGTCCACTTCCCTTAGAGGGTCTGTGGGTCCTCTCAGGATTGCTGGTTTGTTCCTGCAGTAGATCTGGAGCTAAAATTCACAATGTGAGCCTTTGAATGCTGCTCTGTCCATCTGAATTAGAGCTCCAGTCTTGTCTCCCATCTGCCATGATGATTCCTTCTCTCGTGGTGATAATATTTATTTAGCAATATCATCCGTGCTTCGTTAACTGTCAAAGCTAGCTTTTTGGGTCCCAATATATTATTCTTTCTTCTTTTTCGTGTGTTTGGATAGTTTTTAATTTAAAGCAATTAAAAATGTAAAAGATGTGATTCACAAGGGAATGAATAATTAGAAAAGATCGACATAGAGAAGAAATGATTCTCAGTGAAGCTTGCAAAACCTATGAAGGAATATATTATGGAAATTATTGGAAACTTTTCATGGACCAAACATTCTAACATATTATGTTAGAATTTTAAGGTGCTAGAATTAATATCTGGGCTAAAAAAAGAAACTGTAAGAAAGTATATTTCGGTTTAATATAATCTGTATTTATTTAATATTTAGTCATTTATTGAGTACCTCTTATGCACTGGGACATTTTATTCTGGGTAGAGCAGTGTTAGGTAAAAGGAAATGTTTCCTAAGAAAGTTAGAGCTTGACCCAATTCCTGAAAAATAGATAGCTATTCATAATGTTAATAAATGTAGGTTATATCTAATTAGCAGTGATAATATTTAAAACATTTAAGCAAGAGAGGAAGGGATGGGATCAGATTCACATTTCATTTAGTTATTTTCACATACTACAGAGAAAGTGTTGGAAAGCTATTGGACTAGAAAACAACCAACATTTAAAAATACTATTTCAATTGCCAACATAAAATATAATGCATCTCTAAACAGCAGCAGGGGAAGATAGGATAAAGGGTATGAATACAAAACATGTTAAAGAGCAAGAATCTAAAGGACTCAGATGCTGAATGAACTGAAAGATAAAGTGACCTATGCTTTTGTTTTAGATGATTGTATAGATTTATCATTTATCGAGACAACAACCAAAGAAGAAACATATTTTTAAAAAGGAAAAATGGGTTAGTTTGGGATCTACTCCTTTTTGAGAAATATTTGATACTTCCTGAGCAAAGTAAGAAATGATAACAACAAAACTTTTGAAGGAAATTTCCTATAGCCACAATTATAGAACTTAGTGAGGAACAGTCAATTTTCATTTATGTTTCAGTGTTTCAGTACTCAATATGGGCCCTAGGTGCATTCCTATACAGATGACATTACTTAAACCAAGAAAGTACATTTGCCAGTCCCAGTCAGGAGAAGATTCCCAAAAGTTTCGCCTAGTTTTAGTCTGGAATTGTCCCCACATAGAATTTGCTTCTAGTTTAGAAGTTTAGCAAAGACAGTCATAATAGGGACTTCTGTGACCTCTCTTTCACTCATCCCTTGAGGTTTTAAATATTTTAGCAAGGTTGGAGTCTGCTTTAGTTTCTTAAATTGGAGTGAATGGTTATCTTGCATGGAATTCTGCACCTGAGATGTGTGGTCTGGCCCCTGTCAATGTTGCATTTGTCCAAAGTTCAAAAAATGAGGCTGGGCCCTAAAGCTAAAGGCAGAAGGATAGTGGCACTGCTCTGATTACCTGTGACACTTGCAGGCTTGGACCACTACAGATCTTGATGTTAACAATTCATGATTGCCACCCCCACCTAAGTACTTATGAATTGAGAGTCTTATGGGAAAATAAAGTATTGCGCTAGCTCTGAGTGCTAAAAGAAAATATGATACTTTGTATTTTTTTTCAACTATTCCTCTGAAAGTGAATTTAATAATACATTTGGGGCACATCAAACGTCTTCTCCCATTCAGAGGTATATCGAACAGAAGTTTAGAGTTTCATGCACCTGAAATCCACAGGCAAGACTGTCTACAAAAGATATATGTCAGAAATGGCAAATGGGTCAGAAAGGAAGCACCTACATGAATCAGGAAACCATCCTACACTACACAGGTTTTTCTTAAATATAATTTATTTTTTTCTCACATTCACCCATGCTGCCAAAAATATCTCTGAATTTCTATTAAGAATTTTATATGTACTAGTTATAAATTTCTAGTAGCTGTGAAATAGCAATGCATGTTATGCATGATAAATTGAAAAATATGTTTTAATAGTATAACTGAAAGAATCTCTACATTGTGTTACTATGCTTTCAAGCCATAAAGTGTGTTATAAAATACAAACTGCAGAAGTTTATGCTCTAATTCAAAAAGTTATATTATAAAGAGTTCTGCTAAAAAATAAACTAATATTTTATCCCCACATTACTATAGTAATATCCCTTAAACTTGACCAGTTATTTCTAATGTGTATCCATATAACCTTCTGAGTTATGGTAAAAGTAGAAAAAGAAAAGACGAGGATAATAGAAGAGTAGAGGATGGAAAACAGGGGGTTCAATTCTGGGGTGCTTTTCTACCCTAAAGAATTGAGACCACAGGAAAATTAGACAGAATTCACTGTGAGTCACCATTTTTGCATTTGTTTAAAATTTTGCTTAGTATAGAACATTAAAATAGAAAAGGAAAGCATTCTCTTTCAATCAGACTTCACCTTTGGAAGCAGAAACACAAGCAGAATTTTTTTCCTGTTACTGTTGTTAGGTGAAGTATGTCAAAATTAAAACTTTGATGACAAAGCAGATGCTCGGGCAATAATAGTCATATCATCTTAGTGAATGGGAAACCAAGCGGGCATTGGAATGCTTTTAAATTTCTCTAGCTGTGCCAAAATAATTTCTGATATTTTAGATATCACTCAGGCTTGCTAACAGGGTCACAATGCACTGAGTAGTAACTGAGAAAATGGTTTTGCAAACTTGAGACAATTTCATTTATTGTGTCAAAGGAGCATGTGATATATAATTGAACTTCCATATCCATGGGTTCTTCATCCTTGGATTCAACCAATTGCTGATCAAATTATTTGGGAACAAAAATAGCATCTGTCCTGAACATGAACAGGTATTTTTTTCTTTTAGTTTTCCTAAACAATATAGACGAGTGCCTGTTTACATAGCATGTACAACATACAATGTATTATAAGCAATATAGAGGTGATTTAAAAAGGGAGAATGTGAGTGCAGGTTATATGCAAACACTATGCCATTTTATATCAGGAATCTAGATTGCCTGATCATTGATTTTGTTATCGAAGGACAGTCCTGAGACCAATCCTTCATGGGTAGAGTCATAGTGATGGATGAGAGTATTAACATATTTTTAATTTAACAAAGGATCATTATTACAGTTATTTTATCTAATCAAACTGATGCCTCTTAATGATGTTTATGGGCAAGGTTATGCTGAATTTTTCAAATGTTTGAAGAAAATGCAGTTACAACCTCTCCTGGAATTAATACCTGGTAATTAAACAAAATCTAACCAAATTCTCTGTTGATAGGGCCATATATGTTGTTTTTCATGAGAGTAATAATTGATGCTGATGTTTTACTTACTGAAGGATTAAGTTCGAAGACATGTTAGTGCACTTCAGTGGCTATCGAGTACATTTTTTTAAAGGCCTCTAACACAACTTTGTGTTTGTGTTTATGAAGCAAAACTTGTGTGTTATCTACTCGCAGGTTCTACAGAAGGCCAAATAGTAACAAATATGTGACAGCCATAATTTCTGACTTTGTTGACAGATATAGCTCTAAGTCAAGTCCAATTGTCTGTCATTACTCAAAACATTGCCGTTTTGTCTAGACTACTTTTCAGTCTCATTCACCACTTTCCTCCACCAACTTCTTAATTTTGCAGTTCCATGGGATCCTGCTTTTTTTCTTTCTTTTCTTATGTCATGTCTTTTCCCTGGGAGAAGTCTTTTGTACTTGCCATTTTATTTATTAGTCATGTAAGCTTACCTCTAGGAAATAATTTTTTTATTAAAAACTATTTTCCAAACTCATATTAAATGCTAACTGTAATCTTCACCTGAATGCATTTCAAACTCACATGTCAAGGGGAATGCATGGTGTTTTCTTCCACTTCTACATGAAGTAAGTTCTCCCAATCTTGAGTAAAAATACTATCATCCACCCAATTTATCCAAATTTGAAAACTGGGTGTCAGTCTACATGTCACTTGTTCTGTCATACCTAAGAAACACAATATCCCCAGCCATCTTGTTATTTGCCACATCCTATTTAGTTTACTATAAATAGTATAGCTGTTTGTTTTGTAAGACCTATGTAATTTCCATGTGTTTGGTTTTGGGTTTTTTTCTGTCATTTGTTTTTATATATGATGACTTCCTGACTCTCATCAAATTGTTTGATGTATTTTTTCTTGTTTTATTAACTTAGTGGATATATTTCTATCATAACACTTATGGCATTTTAATTATTTTAATTGGTTTACATTTCACCCTACTGTATGAGTCTATGCATTTCTTTAAGAAAACAACTGGATTGTAATCAACTTTGTAGTCTCAGAACTCAGCATAATTTCTTGACTATAAGAAGGCATTCAGGCTGGGCATGGTGGCTCACACCTGTAATCTCAGTGATTTGGGAAGCTGAGACAGAAAGATGGCTTGAGGCCAGGAGTTTCAGACCAGCTTGGGCAACACAGAGAGACCCTATCTCTAAAAAAAGATTACGAAAAAAATTCAGGTGTGTGTGGTGGCTGCAAGCCTGTAGTCCTAAGTACTGGAGAGGCTGAGAAGAGAGGATAGCTTGAGTCCAGAAATTTGAGCTAACAGTTAGTTAAGATCACACCATTGCACTCCAGCTGGGGTGACAGAGCAAGATCCTGTCTCAGGCAATAAAAAGAAACAAGGAAAGAAGGGAGGGAGGGAGGGAGGGAATGCAGAGCCTTCAAACCATATGTGGTAAATAAAAATAAATCAGTGAATTAATAGACCCCATTTATTTATTCACTTACAGCCTACTTTTTAATCATATTTCAAAATACTGCATTTCAGTGAATAAAATGGCACAAGGTTTTTATTAGGGACTAAATAACTATATCCCCATAAGTTTTATGGTTTTAAGATGTTAACTCTAAATACTAACGTGGCTCGGTTTGGAGATGGGCCTCTAAGGGAGTAATTAAAGTTAATCGAAGTCCTAAAGAGGCAAAGCCCTGATCTAAAAGGACCCATTTCCATGAATAAGAAAACACTAGAGAGCCCATTCCCCAGGTTCCTGACCTGCCCCTTGCACCTTGAAAAGGTATGAAAGCATAGCAAAAAGGCTATCATCTGTAGGTGAAGAGGAGACCTCTCCCTAGAATCCTAATTAGTAGAAACTTGATCTTGGATCGCTAGCTTCCAATACTGACCAAATTTCTTTTGCTTAGGACACTTAGTCTGTCCTATTTGGTTGTGGCAGCTCAAGCTACCTAATACAGTCTTCTATCAGAATTTTTTTTCTATCAGGAAACACCATACAAAATACTTTTGTGGTAGTGTTGTGAGTCATAACACTGGTTATGGTTTAATCAATTTCAGTTGGGTTTTCTATTACAACCCAATAAAAGCATCCCAAGTGACTCAAATGGTAAATGAATTACTAAAGGTAGCTACTTCTAGATACATCATCTAATTTTGTCTAGTCTTGTATTCAGTAGTTTCAAAACAGGTTGCAATTTAAGTTTAATCTTTTAAGCCTTTTGGCAAAGTCGACTTCATTTATCTTCAAACTCTTAACATTTTTTCATTTAATTCTCTTTTTGTTGTTGTTCAGGACAATGGTTCTTGTGTGAGACTTTTTATATTACTTTGTCAGAAAATTCAGCATGCAAGTGGAAACTAATCAACTTATCGCTGGGTACATGGAAAGATAAATAAAAAATAATCTGAATACCATGTCTGTATGTGTTAGATCTCTATTGTGCTGATTTTTTTAATCTTTAACTTTTATTTTAATTTCATGGGTACATGTGCAGGATGTGAAGGTTTGTTACACAGGTAAACATGTACCATGGTGGTTTGCTACACAGATCATCCCGTCAACTAGGTATTAAGCCTAGCATCCGTTAGATATTCTTCTTGATGCTCTCTGTCCTCCCACCCCCACAACAGGCCCCAGTATGTGTTGTTCCCCCTATCTCCATGTGTTCTCATCATATAAGTAAGAACATGCAGTGTTTGGTTTTCTGTTCCTGTGCTAGTTTGCTGAAGATAATGGCTTCTAGCTCCATCCATGTTTCTACAAAGGACACAATCTCATTCATTTTTATGACTGCATAGTCTTCCATGCTGTATATGTACCATATTTTCTTTGTCCAGGCTATCATCGATGAGCATTTAGGATGATTCCATGTCTTTGCTATTGTGAATAGTGCTGCAATAAACATATGCATGCATGTATCTTTATAACAGAATTATTCATTTTCCTTTGGTTATATACCAAGTAATGAGATTGCTGGGTCAAATGGTATTTCTGCCTCTAGATCTTTGAGGAATTGCCACACTGTCTTCCATGATAGTTTAGTTTCTCAATGCCTATTAATCCTCCAGTCCTTTACCCAAAGGAAAAAAAAAAGAAATAATAACAATTATTTATCTTAATTACTGAAAACTTCTGGGAGGTAGACGGTAAATTCTGCTTTTGCTTCACAGATCTGACTAAATGCCAGTGTATTCATCTGTTGACAGATTAATAAGGGAGAAACCACATAAGAAGAAAGAAAAAAAGATTTACTTAAAAATTCCCAACACTGTTGAGAATTGCTGAGCTGGTTCTCTTCATCTCTAGTTAATTGAGAAGTCATAGGAAAGTTAACAAGACATTTAGCTTTTTCTTTTATATTACCCAGTCCTCTCGTGCAATTTTATAATTAAATATATTTAGACTGGGGGTAATTTGCATTAGAATAATGGTATAGAATACATATCTGGTTAGTTATATATCTAGTTAGCCACATATTCACATGTAAACATAAATGAATAGATCATCTGTATATGTTTTGAGCATATTTAACATAATACCTACGTCAAGTGCATTAGTTCATTTAATCCTCACAATTGTTATATGCAGGATCATAATTGCTACTTTACAGATTAAGAAACTGAAATTTAGAGGTATAGTCTCCTAAAATCATAAAGCCAGCAAACCATGAGGTCAAGGTTTGATCTCATTCAGCCTGACTTGGCCTACCTACTTAACCATTGCATTGTACACACCAAAAAACCAGAGAACATAGTTTCTGATACCACTCTCTAGCCCCTTCTCACTAAGGAACTGTTATCAACCTTTAACCAGTGCATTGGAAATTAGTCTTGGTTTTGCTACATTTGAAAGCAATTACTTAATGTAAAATTAAAAATGAGTTTTAAAAATTTATACACTTTTTTTGAGAAATGAAGAAGCCAGATAGTAGTTCTAATCTTTAGTTTCTATATTATTTCTTTTGTTCACTCTAATTTGGAACATGTAAATGAAGTTATGCATTTTGAATATACTACAATTAAATTATAAATAGATTCTCACATATAATATATAAATAAATGTGATATTTATAAAAATTTACTAAATAAGGTATCTACCAGTTGTAGGCTATTTATTAGATGACCTTCTGGGGAAGCTTTTAGTGTTTATATATCTGTGTAAAAACTAACATTCATAGAAGTAATAATGATTCTCTCATTATTTAAATGGAGTCTACATCTGAGAGCTATCTTGAGCTATACTTAAAATTTCAAAAATTAGGTCACATATCCAGAACTTCATTGACTATTTATTAATTTACCGGATCAGCATCCCTTTCTTTCTACTCACTCTTCATGCACACTGCTTTCCCCTCCATGTGTTCTTGATGGTATTATAAATCAAGATGTCACCCTCTACCACCGACATCTAGCCATGGTGGTAAGCAATGACACAAACTAGACAAAGCACATTGAGATATCTGAATTTTAAGGAAAGCTACCCAAGATGGAAAACTGTTGGAATTACAGCATCTTAATGTCTATAAGGCAAAGAGACTGCCAGTTAATGCCCTCTAAATAAATCACATAAGCCTTCTTGGTACTTGTCTTACTTAAGTGTATTTGTTTAATTTTATCTTTGATTATGAAAGTTTAAGTTATCCATAGTAAATTTACCTACAGCAAGTATTCAGAGTTACTGATATGAAAATTCAGAATAAAATTCAGATAACAGCTCAGTGAAATTTGGGATATTTACAATGGTTTATGGCATTGAAATGCAAGAAATGACTTTTGAGGTTCCCATTAGTATTCCAGCACTAAAAATTAACTGCCCCAAGGTAATCAGCAGTGAAATAACTAATTAAGTATTTCCCTGTGGTCACCTGGAACCATGTGTCCAACAAGAGCACAGCGTTGGGTGACTAACTGCTGTCAGAAAAGCTTAGAAAGGCCGAATAATTCTTCAAGCATTAGGAAGGAGAGCTGTTTCTGACAGTATTAGATATTTTAAAAGCAAAGTTAAAGAATGACAAGCTCAAATCTTAAAATTCTTGCCTCAAGGCATGGACAGAAACTCAGGGTCTTTCTGTGACTGTGTTGAAAGAATCTCTTCTATCTGATAGCTTCAGGGCTAAGATCACTGAAAAAACAACCTCAGAGATTAATTTTGTAGGTTACTGAATTAAAAGTCGGTCAAATTTACAACCTTCTCAGTTCTCTTATGTAAAGTTCAAGCATAACTCTAGAACTAATATAGCCCCAACGACTGGAAGCATTAGAGTGCAATGTATGGGATATTAAGATAGGTTGGAGAACTCTGATCTCGCAAATCCTTGTGATATATCCTCTTATGGAAAGAATCCATCTTCTTCTGCAAGAGAAATCAAATAATCTTTGTACTGAGAGCTACTTAGGGTTTTGAATACACCAAAATCGTGAATATATATGGATACTGAAATATATAATTCAAATAGTGAAGCTAATAGTCCCAGAAGGATTTATGGGAATTTGTTAATTTGTGTACTCAAATCCTGGAAATTACTTGTAAGACTGGATTTTGAGAATGCTTAGGCAAGGAGGTTGCTGGGGATTATGATTTTGGATCAGACTGGATTTATCAAAGTAGTTACTCTCAGCAGAGTTCCTGCATTCAGTGAGCTAGTTCAAGTAGACAGCTGCTGTTCTGGTTTAGATAAAGCAAAGCCAGACCCAATTTGCTAACTGACATTGGAAGACCAAAAATCTCTCTTCATGTTTAAAGGAAGTACTGTCACAAACTTTGAGATGCTGGAATACTGGATGGAATCTTTTAGTGCATCCATTCACATCCTGTGGTTATCATTTTGAGCTCAATAGACTGAAAGATAACCAGATCACATGGAAGGT